CATTAATTTATTTTTTGTTCACTATTTTTTTTTGTTTATAATTTATCTCTTATTAATTATTTTTTATTTATAATTTATTTTACTTTTCATCATTAGCATAAACTTTTAATTAAATAAGTTAGGCTAAATTTTTATTTATTTATAATAAATGCATGAGTAAAGCCATTACATATAGTAAAATTAAATTTTATTTCTAAAGGTTGTTTCAAGAATGCTTCACACAAACTCTGAGAATCACGATGCTTACCTCCACTACGTGGATATTCGTGGTAATGAGGTATCAGACTGGCGAAAGAGGGTAGTGAAAACGAAACAGCCAATGGCTCCTCACTCACTCATAGGTAACTCTGTTCCATTGAAAGATCCAAGCTTCTTCTATTAAGGCGTGTACCACCTACACACCACAGGTATCATAGGACATCCCCTGGTACCCTGCCGGACATAAAATACGATCGAAGAACCAAGACTGCTTTGGCCAGATTTGCAAGTGGCCATCCTTACTTTTGAGAGAAGCAGAAAGTATCTTTCCTACTTTGAAAAGAATGCTGTGTTCAACCAGCTTCACCGGTATCTGGTTTGCTTTGGACTTTTTAAGGTAGATCTTGCATCAGATCCCCTTTTTGTTGTAGATTTTCTTGCTGTCAGCGGCGTCCTGGAGTTTATCTTACACATATGTCAGAGAATAAATATTTAATTCCCTTATTATTCAACGAGAAAGTAGTGAATAGCTGAAAAAGTCCCTTACGATTTCGCCCGGAGTCGAAGTCTCAACTCTTGAAAGGCTACAAGCAAAAGTCTTTAAGCAAAAATCTGAGGTCTCCAGAATCATGGAGTAGGGTCCTTCCACCAATCGCTATAATGAATATGGAAAACAGAAATGTAAATCGAATCAATTGCAAAATTTCTTTAATTAAATTTTCTTCCTATGGCATCCATAAAGGAAGACTTACTAGTAAATCTTAAATTACTAATAAGTCTGAACTAACCATTAAACATCTAAATCTGAAGATTATTTTAAGAAACAGAAATTGCTAAGTAGAGCAAAATGCTTTGGAATTTAAGGTTCCAGACAGTGGCAAGGCAGGAAGAGTTACAAGTTTGTGCCTTAAAGTTTCTTAACAAACTTCGTGCCGGCGTATACAAGTATTAATTGGAAGTCAGACCTACTTCATAATTATTGCAGTTGAACAAAAATATTACCGATAAATCTTCATAGTATTATAATGTATATAGCAAAAATTGCAAGAAACAACTTAGTTTTGTTCAAATGATTTGATCAGTACTTTCATCCAACTTCTAAACCATATTTAAAAGTTACTTTTAAACAAAGACGGCACTTAACGGATTCCAGCTGCCCATACATTTGGTTGATTAGTCGGTGTTGTGGCTATAATCTTCGACTACCATTGCTTGGGTCAAGGTTCCATTGCTGATGCTAGTGAATGTCTGATCGGACTGCCTTTTCTCAGATTGCGTCTAGGTGGTTCGGAATCCATACTAATGTCATGTCTTCGTGGATTTAAGAACCCGAAAAGTTCACATGTGATTGGGTAGTATGGTCCAAAGGCCGAATGATTGCTATCACCATTTATCCTCTAACAGTAATTGTGGTAGTGTAGAGTACGCGTGCGCCAGTTTTGTCTCTGGGTCATTATTAAGGATATATCTCAAACCTCCATCAATAGCTCAATCGCGTTAATTCAGTGCGAAGCTAACACTAAAAACTAAACTAAAATAAAAACTACTACTAAAACTACATTCTGAAACAAATTATGTTTCAGTATTCGCGAAGATACTCTGTCTTAGGGTTCCCGTAAAGCAGAGAAATAATTCTACTTCCTACATATCGCCGACAAAAATTATATATCTGGAATTTCCTTATTTAATCAGAAACTAATTAATATTTTCGAATAATGGTTGTTTCATCTTATTCATAAAAAATTTGTACTGTTTAACTCAGTTACCGAATTTCACATTTTAAGGTTTTTAGGATTTTTAAAGCTTTTTCTGAGCTTCTTCAATGTCGAAGCTTTAAACCTCGAAATTCAATTAAACACATCAATCAAATATTCAATAGAACACATTAGAATGAATAAATTGAAACAAAAGCTAGTTAAAAAATAGTAATTTATTACTGAAAATATAAGAAAATTCTGGATATATAATTTTCATAACTCCTCATAATAACTTGTCGTAGTGTTGCTGTTGTTGTTACTTTACGTCGCACTAGAGCTGCACAATGGGCTATTGGCGACGGTCTGGGAAACATCCCGGAGGATGATCCGAAGACATGCCATCACAATTTTGATCCTCTGCGGAAGGGATGGCACCCCCGCTTCGGTAGCCCGACGACCTGCGCGCGAAGTCGAGCCCTTTACGGTAGCACAGTTTAACGAGGACCAATACCGCACACCCTCGGTCCCTACGCAGACTGATCCAAGTGGTCACCCACCCGCACACTGACCGTAGCCAGTGATGCTTGACTTCGGTGATCTGCTGGGAACCGTGTCTTAACGATCAGTCCACTGCGGGACTTGTCGTAGTGGGAAACAAGTGGGAAATAATATCCCTTTCATGTCTGAAGAGGACCCTAAAGTTATAAGCTTCACGACCAAAATTCGAATCTGTCACATGCTGATGAGTCAGATTCATCTTTTTGACATGATACCGACTTCGTGTTCTGTAAATACAGCATCGAATTCTCGAAAAATAAGTAATTGTTGCATTAATGTTTCAATTATAATTTTTTATGAAGAAATCATCCCTCTTTTATCCATGCTATAATTTTTCCGCTCAACTAGCACTTTCTACCAAACAACAGTTTTTACCTTTCTCGGTGATTTCATATTATTTGTCAAATCACATTTTAGAAGGACACTTATCCTTAATGCTACTGAACGCTGCCTACTTTGACATTCGTTTTCCAGGTGAATTAACACCAAAGTGTGCAACTTCTATTTTAACTATTTAAATTTCCGTTGACTTAAGACTTAGAGAAAGTATAATAATGCATTTATTTTCTTATTAAACCAAAATTATACACAACCAATGCGAAATTACCATTTTACTAAATAAAGTTTGAATTAAACTGTTAAGCAATAATCTAATGATATGAATCCATAGTTTATTGTTTGGTGGAAAAATACACCTTCCGATTTCCGAATTCAATTTATGATTGGCGAATCGAAATTGTATCAATATCTTGGGGAGCAATTATAAATCATTAGTATAAATAATCGTAACCGAAAGTATTGGGAGAAATTTGCCTCCATGGAGGACTTTTTGATGGAACTAACCCACGTTTGTGTTACATTGTGAGGAAAACCACGAAAACCTCCCACGGTTAGCCTGACGGCACTGGGACTATAACCCATGATCCGTCTGAGTATATTTTACGTCACCACTGTGGTCGTTACGAGCCGGTTGCGGAATTCGTATCGACCAGTCAGAGCTGAGATTTGAACCCAGTTCACCTCATTGGAAGGCGATCGCCCTATCCCCTGAACCACCACGGCTCAAAAACTATAATTGTAAAGTGTAATAATAAACAAAATTAACACGTGTTTTAATTAGCCTTTAAAATACTAATTTGGTATCGCTATCCCCCACATGCCGCCCAAATTATTAACGATGTTTTTACTTGAATTCACTTGTTACCCATTCAATAATTATTTAAAGTAATAATATTACTTTATTTACATCGCATTAGGAGACTGGACCGGGAAACAGCCCTGAAGATGATCCGAAGATATGCCATTATAATGGTCCTTCAGTCCTTACGCGCTTTTGCAGCCCAACGACCTGCACGCGAATTTGAGCAGTTTAAGATTGAACAGTTTAACGAGGACGATATCGCACATCCTCGATTCCTTCGCGAGCTGATCAAATTGGTCACCCACAACTCACTGACCACTGCCAATGATGTTTGACTTCGGTGCTTTACTGGGAACCGTGTCTATACGATATGAGGAATAACATCAGTTACAATCTGTGGGGTCCCGCAGTGAACTGATTGTTAAGACACGGCTCCCAGCAGATCACCGAAGTCAAGCATCACTGGCTGCGGTCAGTGTGCGGGTGGGTGACCACTTGGATTAGTCTGCGTAGAGACCGAGGGTGTGCAGTATTGGTCCTCGTTAAAATGTTCTACCGTAAAGTGCTCGACTTCGCGTGCTGGTCGTCGGGCTGCCGAAGAGGGGGTGCCATCCCCCCTGTAGAGGACCAAAATTGTGATGGCATGTCTTCGGATCATCCTCGTGGATGTTTTCCAGACCGTCGCCTATAGCCCATTGTGCAACTCTAGTGCGACGTAAATGAACTACTACAACAACAACAATCTGTGGGAGAGCAATTACTTAAAACTTGCTGTAAATTTTCAGTGAAACTCGTTTTAAGTAAAAGAGCTATCAGTTATTAAAATTAATAGTTGTTATAATTCAAATGAAGAAGTGTTTGCAATTTAAATTGCAACTATATGTTATACTAATCGCATGAAAAAAAAATTGTTTTTCATTCAGCCCACTCGAACAATTGGACTCAGATTTTATAATGTCGATTGTAACCTTACCCGTGTTTCAAACTGTCAGTGTATCAAATTTCGTTTCGCTAATCACGCTTAGGGAAAGAAACAGATTTTTTTCAAAAATATTTAAATATAAATAAGATAAATTTCATTGTTATACTTTATGAACATTTCATAAAACTTCAATCCCTTTTTTTTACAATACATGAAGTTTCATATTTTTTAACAAAGCAAATAAATAAATCTATAACTTTTTATCTCCAAAATAAAACACGAATAATACAAAAAAAAATAAAACCTTTCTTCTTGTTTAGTTACAAGATTTTTTCATCTGATATATCTACAAATGTACTTCTCGATTAGTCTCTATCGCACTCGATTGTCTATCTCTCAATAATATCTCTATTTATAGATATCGCAGGCCCCCCAAAGGCTGTTCAAACATGCAATTAATGCTTTTAGCGAGATTATTTTCATTTATCAGTTACACTTCACGCTTATACCCTTCATCGCATAACATAAAGAATATTCGCGGAATATTTTTGAAATAAAATAAGCCAAAAGTAAGAATTTTCTTAATTTCTGAAACTGATTGACCGCCAGCCGAACCACGTGACCAAACTCGGAAAGGAATCGTCTGTGTGGTTAGTGATAACAGAATTAGCAGTTCGGTAAATAGAATTATTAGTAACCCTTTAAGACAACAAACTCTTGGAATTTGAGAACCACTGCGAAGATAGGAAATGTTTATTGTTGTTGCTGTTGAAGGACTGACCAATTTGGGCAGTATCTAGAATTATTCAATCGCTGCTGATAGAATGGGATCAGGTAGAAATAATTTGAATTTTGCTTATTATTTTGTAGATTTTTGTTTGTATAATGGTGTGAAAAACATTCGTTTTTATTTATTGGCATATGTTACTTAATTTTTATACAATTTTAAGCTGATTTTAAAGCTTTAAAGTGTGCACTACATAGAGTGAGGGAATCTGTATGAAGAAATCTCAATACGTATACTGAAAAATACTAAGTTTAAATGCAAAAAAAATTATTATCAAATTTATATATTTTTTTTTTACTTTCGTAATTTTTTCTCTATTATATAGGAAAAAAACTTTGTAATCAGACATGTTAGTAAAATAATTGTAGTGTTAAGAAGTATTATGTACTTAATGTTTTGTTTAGATTATTGTAAAAAACGATTAACTACGGCAAATCTGAAGTTATTACTTCAAAAAAGTAATTTAATAAACGTTAAAAAATGGATTGTAGTTTTATCATGTTTATATATTTAATTGCAAATACAAGTTCTGTTTGATTGAAAATATGTTTTAAAGTAAACAAATAACAAAAAAAAGAAGCCAATGATGTTTGAGTAATGCGTGAATGAGGGCTGATGTATTTGTGTTTATTTATTCAACATAATATATTTTGATTAAACGAGAAAATCACTTAATATTTTATTCTCATTTATAATAGAATCTGTTTTAGACGTAGAAAACAAAATCTTATTTAATAGAATTTCATTCTATTTGTATTTTGTTTTACTTAAAATATTGAAGATAAAAAAATGAGATTTAATCTAAAATGTTATTTTTAAAATGTTTTAAAGAAGAAAATCTTACAACAAATTTCAAATTTTTGAACTATACGTTTTTATTAACTGGCTTTCGTAAACTGCAGAAAATTCCTGTTCTTTTTTCAGATTTTCTTTGCATATTTGACCATTTAAAACTATTTTCTTGACAAAACAGGTTTTTTCTGTCTTTCATCCTAATCATAAAAGAATTAAAACTAGTTCATACCATGCAGTTATGCTTATCGTACAATAACTCTGCCCTTTTTTAAAAAAAATCATTTCAGAATTATTTTCTATTCTTGCTCTTTTTTAGCAGTTATTTTACGGTTTTGAATATCGTATAAACGAAACTGCGATTCGACTGTTGTTTATTGTCAAATCGATACCCTACCTGATTTTGTCTCTTGATATCATTTTTTGGTAAGTTAAATTGCCAGACATTTCTATACGAGACGTTAACAAGAGTTTTAAATATTTTTACACTTGCATATTATTTCAATAAGTATTACTTTTAAAATAAAAGCAGTCACAGGATTTTTTTTCATACTGAAAGACCACTAGACCTGTGGTAGTTCAGGGAACAGAGCACTCGCCTCCCAATGAGGTGACCTAGGTTCGATTTCCGTCGTCGGATGGTCGTAGGAACGCTACTCTCAGCTCGCACCGAATACAATGCTAGCATAGTAATTTTTTACAGTTTTTATTAAAATAACAGAAGTTTGTATGCTGAAATAACAGTGCATATCTGTTTAAAAAACAGGCATCTGTTTTTAAATAACAGTGTTTTTCTGTGAAATAAACTGCTTTATGCTAGCACACCAGCTGGCAATTTTTTTCCGTAAGTTTATCAGATTTTTTACTGTGTACACTTATGAAGGTGGAGTCTTGCAAATAAACTTTATACAACATTCCAACTAATTAGAGAGCTAAAATCTTATTTAGAGCTTTCTGTCTGATACCAATACGTGTTTCAAATGTTTTTCGATTTCTGCAAGCAGAATTTACAACAACATGAAATTCTTCAAAGTTCTAAGTTTTGGCCACTTAGAAACTAACTAGAGTTCTCAAATTTCCATCGAAACTTAAGTGCAACATTGCAAAGTTACTATAAACTTGATTTTTTCTTTCTAGCATAGAGTTATGATAAGAAAAGCGAAATGTGTCTATATTGTTTTATAAAATATTTTTTGAAAGGTTATTAAAACAGTTTAAATATATAGTTAGTCTAAAATAGATGGCCATAATTATTTTCAAATCGATATCAAAGTACTAAGAATAGAGATCCACGAAGCGTTTATGCATATTTAAACTCTCATGTATGTACTCAACATATTTTGAACAAAAAATAATAAAATATTGAGAAAAAATTGTTGGAAATTAAATTTATAAGCAGCCATCTCTCTTTAATATCAAGGTGAGTTGGCCATCCAGTAAAGAAAATATTAGGTTAAAATATGGAAAATAACACATTCCATACAAGTTAACCATGAAAAATTTTCAGTAAGTAGTAAAAAATGAACTTTATCACGACAAATAAGCAAAAAGAATCTAATAAACAAAGTCTATTGTACAGATTTAATCCGTCACTTTCGAAAAAATTTCATCACAATCGTGGCAAAGTTTGTAAATGTTTTATGGAATCACTGCATGCACCTTGCACATCTTGAGTCATTACTTTTACCCTGGTGTTAAAAATTGGAAATTTTTTACATTTGATCAGTTATCTCCAGAACCACTTAACAGATTTTAATAAAATTTGGTTTGACCATAGTTTTATATAATACAAAAATAATAATCATTCAACAATTATAATACACTATTTACATAATCGTGCACAATATAAGTATATAATCGAGTTTAGAACTGCAGAGTTGAATAGAATCAAAGAGTGGTTACAGAATTAAATTAAAAAAAATGGTTTGATAGTTGCCCCTTCGTTCAGGCCGTGATTTCATACTAGAAATAAGGCAGTTTATGAGTTCCTGTGGCAGTTCGTCCCACTCTTTCAGTAATGCTATTTTCAGTCACTGGATGGTCCTCAGAAGGAGTTGCAATTGCTCTCCCTAAGGCTCTCCAGACCAACAAACATCTCCAAAGCCAACACATTGATATTCATCAAATTCTGGGAATGTAGAATCGGATAATACGTAGAATTCTATCGAGTAGGTTATAGTAGGCTTCTGTCAAAGAGAATCAGAATGTTAATATGCAGGGCTGGTAGGGTCCTTAAAAACTGTAAAAAGTTGTTTTTAATTTTGTCATAAAAAAGCTAAGAATTTCTTTTTTATTAGCTTTCATTTTAAAGCAAATAATACGAAACAACAGATTTTCCATATTTATTTATTTATCTGGAAATATTAAGCTTGGTTGTGAATCTGAATCTTCTGGAATGTATTTATTTTATTACTTTTATTATCATTTTTTAAATTTTTTAAGTACCCTACTATTTCTGATATGTCTATGTATATAAATGAAAGGGGGTCATCACTCATTTATCTTATGTAGCCATCTCTCCTGAAGTTTAAGATGAGAAGGATACTAAATTTGTAGCATTATTCAGCTATCATAATTCCTTATTTTTTACTCAGGAATTGAACTACATTTGTACATTATAGGTCCAGCTAGTTAGAAAAAAAAATTTCATTTACGTATTGAAAAGCAACAAAATACTTGATTCACGAAAAATATTCAACCCTCAAATAAAATATACATTCAAATTTTAACCTACTTTAGTTGTCATAAAAAATAACGCTTTGTATAAAAGTTAAATTGCTTTTTATGAAGTTGCATTTGTTGCAATCTATTAGCAAATATCAAAGCATGCAATCTATTAGCGGTCATCTCTCCTCTATGGCCATCTAACCTAGGCTCACCCTTGCACTAACAATATCATTAAGCGATATAAGTTATTTAGTATATTGCTAAAAGTATTAACCGAACACTCAAATTTAATGTGAGTATGTGATGCTCCGAAGCAAATGCACTATACTATTTGCGTATAAATTTGACGCAACGGGATGTTCACGACGTTGTTTGGAAAATACTGGTGACGTTTAAGTGCTAAAACGCTGTCGCTTCCAGAATTTTGCCTTCTTTAAGTAAATACAAGGAATTGTGGATTCAACAGACCCCGGTCAAATGCCGTTTAAAAAAAAAAAAAAAAGACTTAGTTCGTAATATCATTTTTCTAAAATCATTATCCAAGTGCTTCTGTAAAAATTACTATGAAGAAGAAAGAATGATTCAGGATGCCATTTTATGGTGAAGTTGATAGAAAATCTCAGGGTGTGGATGGAGGTTTGTATTGGTATAGTGGATTAGTTGAAGATATTGACAAATTGAAGATGGTGATGATAAACAGAAGAAGATGAAAATTGATAGTTGAGCCGGATTAGAATTAATAAAAAGGCTTTTATTTAGTAGTATTTGTAGAGCTCGAGTTACAAAATATAAAAATCATTTCATAAGAATTTCAGTTGAATCAGTTTTGCATAGTAATATTAAAATAGGTCAGGCCATGGGAGACAAATCCCCACGACCTGCCTAATCAAAAGCCAAATTAAAAAGTACATGTAAATTGTTCCCAGCGGACACAGAAGCATTGGTAGGAGATCCAAAATTGGCGATTTATTAAAATATAGCATAGCCAAAACAAGGCCAACCAGCATATCAATATTGGGTTTAAAAGAATACCTTGGCGATCACGAGTCGCCAACAAATTTATGTGAATTCTTATAACCATGCAACCGAAACATTTAGCCGTTGGAAAATTAGAATAAAAAGTTATAAATAGATTTTTGTTTTCGATTAGAGGCGACAGTGAATATATAAGTCTGCATTAGTAATGAAATAAAAAAATATCCGTTACATTGATCTGGAAGAGAAGAAATAAATATTTTATGTTTGTTTTAAAAAGATTAAGTTTGTGATTTATTTTAAATGTAATTCTATTAATAAAAAAATCAGCTTAAGTAATGAAAGATATTTTAAAAGATAGAAAATAAATATGTGTATGCCAATTGTGGCATCACAATTACCGACCTTTTTGGTGTTCCCATACAGCCAGAAACATGGTAAATTTTTCCATATTCTAGTAGTTTTAACCATACTTTTCTGAGTCTGTCAATTCTTACATTAAAAGAATTCCTTGTTGGATATTTGGCTTTTAGTGGAATTTGCAATGAATACGTACTGCAAAGCATATATTTTTTTCACTTTTGGGCTAGTTTAGTTTCGACCCTGTTAAGTG